TATATATATCCCCTCTCTAATTCAGGAAATAAATGCTAAATGATTCCACAGTACTCTGGTGCCTAATAAGATACTTTATTCTTCTTCTTACAAGCAGAAAAAAAGTTATACAAAAACTATGCAGCAAGAGAAGCAAGATAAAATACTTGTTATAAAAATAGTTCAAAGGCCAGAAATGTAGTTGTTAATTGGCAAAAAAATCCTTGGAAAACAGAAGGGTTTAGTGATTTCTGTTGAATCAACTCTCCGAATTTAGTTAGCTCTTTGTAGATCAGTCTTTTATCTCTATTTTCCTGTACTTCTGAACGTATGTCAGATGATTTTCTTTTCAAATATTTGTAGAATTTTTGCCTTTTAAAGAATATTTAGTCTAAACATTTTCTTTTATTGTTGATTTCAAACATTTATAAAAGCACAGAAATACAATATTAAACTCGCATGTACCTGTCACATAGCTTCAGTGATCAGTTCATAGCCATTTTTGTCTCATCTTTGCCACCTTCTATATTCTTTTCTGTGTTGAAGCAAATTGCAAATATTATTTCCCTTTGTACTACAGTGTGTATATATAAAGGATAGGACCTTTCTTTTAAAAAATATAACTTATCACACAGATAAGTAGTATTTCATTAGCATCATTAAATATCTGGTTATATTCCATATGTCTTACAGTTTTTTAAAATGCTTTTTTGTTTGACTTGGCATAAAGTTAAGGTTTGTATATTCTAATTGATTGGTGCGTTTCAGTGTTTCTTTTAATCTTTAGATTCTCTCCCCTTTGTATATTTCTCATTGGAGAAATGATCATTTGACTTGTCATTTCCTGGTCTGGATTTCACTGATTGGATTTCCATAGTGGTGTTAACACATTACTTTGTATTTTCTGTAAATTGGTAATTAGATAATTTGTGATTAAGTACATTTTTGATAGGAGTCAAAATTACTTCATAGGTGGTGTTGGTTGCTTTCCTAAGGAAGAACATAATATCTTTTCTTTTTGTGACATTAATGTCCACTGGTGACTGTTAATTTCATTAAGGGTCATAAAACATTTGATACTTCACTGTTACTCCTTTGTAGCTTAAAAGGTAGACTGCTTCCACAAAGAGAAACTTCCCTGTGTTAATTATTTGCACTGTCAGATAAAGTTTGTATAAGAAGACAAGATAATTGATTCCTTCTTTTTATTTACCAAAATTTATGATTAATTAGTTCCATAGCATTTTCCACAGGTAACCAAGTAGTTTTCTTGTTTGTGTATTTAAAGTACCTTGCATGAGCCTTAATATCGCTTGAGTGTTACAGGTTCTTCTCACACATTTCTTCCTCTTTCCTTAAAGAAGATGTTCTTTTACTGAGAAATGGTATTAAGAGACTGAGTTCAAATGCTAAAAGTACTAATTACTACACACTCTTGTTTGTGGGTCTTCTTACTGAACAGAGCTAGGGGGATATACCCAAAATTCATATTGATACTTCCAGTTAAAATAGAGGGATTTTTTTTTTACTTAACCCTAGCAATTTTACATGTATCTTTCATGTATAGTATCTTTCATTTACACTGAAAACTCTATTTCTCAATGACCACACTACAATTACTTATTCTACTCAACACTTGCCATACATTGGAGTAATAATCCCATCACCACCTCCTCCAGCTGAAAATAATTTAAGATCTTTTTGCAATTCTTTTTATCCTCCATTAGATCCCATTTGGGATGAGTAGTCAAATTTCCCTGTTTTAAAGCAACATCAAATAATTTCTTTTTGTATGATTATACTCCTATTAAGCTTTGTTTCATTTTACCTTTGTTACAGATTATTTTTAAATATTTTGACTTTTAAGTTAATATATTTATGTACTTCCAAAGTAAAAAATCTAGAAAACAAGATCTCTTGAAAGCTTAACTTTCATATGTATTAATCTCTCTTCCTTTCTTCCCCCAGTTAAATATTTAAAATTTAAATTTTTTAAATTTATCTTCTCATTTTAAAATAGCAAATGTGTAACTGTTTTATCCACCCTACACTTTTTCTGTAAAAATTACACATTTTTCACTGTCTTCTACTTTTTATTACTATATACTGAGGTTACTCTCTATGTATGTATGCATGCTTTCTTTTTCATAGTTGCATATTACTCCTACCATGTGATTGTATCATCATTTACTCAGCAGTAACTTATTAACACTTGTATTCTTTTTTCCTTTTAGGTCCCACTCCCCCCACCTCCATTACAAATAGTGCTATAGTGAACAACTTTGTGCACATGTCTTTTGTATTTTCACCAGTGTATAGTTAGTTGAGCTAAATCTCTGGTATCCTGTCTGTCTCTCACCCCCTCTCTGTCTCTGTCTCTGTGTTTTCTTTTTTTTTTATCGGCACCAGGGATCAACTTGGGTCCTTGTACTTGCGAGGCAGGCAGCAGAACCACTGAGCTAAATCCCTGGCGATGGTTTTTTTTACTCATCCTATGTTTTAAAAAAAATAAAAAAGGAAGCTGTTGTACATACTGATAATGGCATGCACAGAGGGATCTAGCATGCATTTCTCCCCTTTGTGGGAAAAAGGATGATTCTTTTATGTAACCATAGAATCACTGCTGTTGACTCTGGGCATTGTTTTGCGGGGACACAAATCTACTCTTGCCCTTAAGGATCTGAAGAGATCAAAACAGTATCTGTAATTGATGGGTTTATGAGTTGTTTCTTAATTTATTCTACATAATTTTTATTGCAATCCTGTTACAGTATATGAAATACTTTAGACTGGTAGATGGAAATAAAAATAATAAATACATAGGGCTGTTGGACTTTATGGACCTCATCATCTAGTACCATTTGTTTGACATGCTACTAAAATTACAACTGCATTTCTTTGTGATCACTTGACTTACACTTTTGGAGGGGAGTTAAGTATGTTCTGTGACCATATTTGAAACCTCTTTCATCACTCCATTTCACATTTTATATTTGATGATAAAGTATAAGTTAAAAATGTTTTGAACACTTGCTTTTTTTTGATAAGAATCATTCAGAACTGGATTTTAAAATGTGGCTGTAAAACATGATTAGCAAATACAGTGTTATTTCGAACTTAAAATTTTTATGTTTTTAAAGCTAATTTGTTACATTGTTGCTTGGGCTGACCCTGACCTCCTGGGCTCAAGTGATCCTATAACTTCCCTCTCTCCTAGGTAGAACTAAAGGCATCTGTACGTGGCTTAGACTTTTTTTAGATTGAAAAATTCTTTAGTACAAAGTGTGAAACCTAAGAGCTAGATTTATTTTTGTAAATGATAAAATTGTCATTCTATCATTTGTTTTAAACAGCTCTTGTAGCACAGAGAGGACATTGGACTTGAGTTAATTTTATACTTTTATAACTTTTTGAACTATGCTCATCTAACATTACTTTTCTCATCGATAGAATGAGAAATAGGTAGATATGTACTTGGTTTGGTAGTTAATGCATGTTAAATCTGTTAAATTAAAATGTGTTCATTATATTTGAGTTGGGTTTGTTTTTGTTTTTGGGTTTTGTTCTTTTTTTTTTTGTAATGGGTATTAAATGCAGGGCCTTGTGTGTGCTAGAGAAGCATACTACCACTGAGCTACACCTCCTGCCTTCATTTGAGCTTCTGACAATATAATTTTAATTCTTTAGTTGTCTGGCTACTTTATGATTTTATTTTCACATCATCATTTACTAGAATAAAAATAAGGCAGAATTTTAAAATTGTTGTTAAAAGAGAAGTACCTACCTATGTCACTGCAGAATATTACAGATGTGATTTTGGCCAAATTGTCTAATCTGTTCCTACCTAGGTTACTTTATATTTAAAATGATAATAAAAGCAGCCTTTACCATATGAAGTACATAGAACACTGGGTGGCACATAGTAAGTTATTTTTCTTCTTATTGTTCTTGCTATTTTTCTGGAGTAGAAAGCATTTCAGCTTTCTTAGAAATATACTTTAACAAAATGAAACAGTACAAAAGGTATAAAATTACATATTTCATTCTATATCTTGACTTTGCAAAAAATAAAATGGGAAGCCTTTTAGAGGAAAGCATATAATTTTTAAAAAGACATTAAAATGTAATTTAAACTGTTGAACATTTTTAAAAGATAGCTTTTGCTTTCACTGATTTTTGCTGACGTATAGGTATTAGTAACCTTACGCAGAGTTGGTAACATCTTCTTTAGTAAATGAATACCTATAAACTCAGTCACTTATAGGAGCTTATTTTCTTAGCAAAAATGAATTAAATCATTCATTAATGATTTAGCTTTGGGACAGGCATGTCTGACCCATAGCTTGGGACACTAATAGATCATAAATTTGTAATACTGCATGGTTTTTAGAGATCCTTTTTGTGACTCAGCTGTGCAGTACTACAGCATAGGCTGCATAGGTAGCAATGCTCTAGGTAAGGGAAGGTACACTGAGTGCTAACTCTGTCTTCCGCACCCATCACTCCTGGGTAGAAATCTGTGTGTGACACTTGCTTATGTGCTTATGCCATTTGGCAAGTAAAATGCAGCAATTACAGCAATACTGTTTCAAATTGCCTGTACATTTTTGTGTCTGTGAAGAGAAGTATTATATGTTAGTAAGCATGACAGTTCCTCTTTCCTCCATGTGGTCCAGAAAAATAAAAAAGTTGGGTACTCATGCTTTAAGATTTGGGAATTGAGTCTGTGAACAGAATTACAAAGCTTTGTAAAAGATATGTGAATGCTTTCATTCTAACTTTAATGGCAAAATGCTGACCTTAGTGAAGATTTTACGTACATGTTTTATGCCATGTTTCATTAAAGATACACTGAAATCCAGCTGATGGCAGTTTTCATCTTGCCCCTGAAGACAAGTAGATTTTATGTTGGCTTTAATTAACCCAACTTTTAACAATAGCCCCTAAATACAATGCTGTATATCTGTATTCCATTTGACCTTATAACTTTTTATTTTTATTTTTAGCAAAACATCAGTGCCTTTGCTTTCAATTATTTCAAAAATTATTTTTGTGATATTAATCTTGGGGCAGATGTCAGAAAGTGAATAGTCAAAAAAAATTAAAAGTGAATCAAAACACTGGCCATGTAATAAAGAGGTCTAGGTATACCTAGTGTATCTTTTTTAGTAAGAAAATAGAAGAAAACCTAAGGCTATGTCAGTCATATATCTGTTGGTTTTGTTTGTTTGGCTTATTTTGTTTTAGTTTGTTTGCTTGCTTGTTTTTATTGGTACTGGAGATAGAACCATAGGGTTTTATACATGCTAGACAAGTGCTAGCTACCACAAAGTCCCTTTTTTAAAACTCTTTAACTTTCCTTTTCCATTTTGAGACAGGTTCTTGCTAAGTTGCCCAGGCTAGCTTCAGACTTGCAGTGCTCATGCTGTAGCCTCCAAAATATCTGTGATTACATACAGGCACCACTGCACCTGGCTGAGGCGTCTTTTAAAATGACATTGAAAGTCCGCGTATTTCTGAAGGACATTAATAGAGTTGGGATGCTGCTAACAGGGTTACTGGTATCTTAATAGGTGATTAGATTTTCTTAGTCCACCTCTCAGTTTTCTTAGACTTTGTATCAGTAACCTTGAAAGATGACATCTTGGGGGAAAAAAATAATTGTAAAGAGGAGAGTGGAAATTTTTACATTAAGCAATTTGATGTAGTAGAAAGAATGATGAACTTAAAAATCAGAAGACCTGGCTTCTGTTTTGTTTTTGGTTTTTGGTACTGGGAATCAAACTCAGGACCTTGTGTTTGCAAGGCGGACACAGTACTCCTGAGCTAATACCCAGCCCCTGACTTCTGATCCTAGTGTTGTTACTTATTCATTAGGATTTGGGATGCCTGTCTGAACTTTTCATCTATGTTTTAAATAAAAACCCTATCTTAGCTGTCTTGAGGTGAGATGTTAGTAAAATATGCTATAAAGCATAGTGTAAAGTTTCATTTTTAAGCTGTTAAAATAATACTAATGGTTAATGATAGTTTACTTAGCTAACTCATACAAAAATGACAAGGAATTTAAGACTGAGTACAATACTCACCAGCATTTCACTTGTTCTTAGAATGTTTCTTTATTTGCTGCTTCATGATTTTGATTTGTTTGAAATAGGAAATACTCAATGTCTATTATTTATTCCAGTTGTATATGTATCAGCTGTTCAGAAGTTTAGCCTATATCCATTCCTTTGGAATCTGCCATCGGGATATTAAACCACAGAACCTCTTGTTGGATCCTGATACAGCTGTATTAAAACTCTGTGACTTTGGAAGGTAATTAGCTCTTTTTCTCCCTTCCTCTTTCTTCCCTTTTTCTTTTTCCCACCAGCTCCCACTTTGCCGTATGTTCTTTTAAGTCTATTCCTTTTAGAATGTCAGTCTTATCCTTACTTGGATACTATAAACTAATATAGTTCCTTGAGAGAATAGTTTTTGATAATTTCTATCAGAATTATTAATGTCTTTATGCTTTCATCCAAGATTTTAACTTCTGTGAATTATTTATAAAAGTGTATTTCCAGAAACATTTATCGTAGCATTGTTTATGAATGTCCATTCATAAGAAAATATCCAAATAAATTATTGTATATACAGATGTAATGTTATATATACTACCATGAAAAAGAATGATGCAGCTCACTATCAACTGGAAAGGAATGATTTTTATGAAATATTAAATGAAAAAAGCAAGATCAAGACTGTTATAATATGTTCCCCTTTACTTTGCAAACACAGTGTGGCTATCTTAATTCAAATATATGCATATGTAATATGTCTTATTTCTGAAATGTTATATAATAATCCCATGACAGAGGTTGCTCCTGGAAAGGGAAATTTTTGAAATATAATGTAGTTTGAGAAACTTGTTTTTTCAGTGGTTGCACTTTAGTATTATTTGAATTTGTATTAGGTGTATATGCTCCTTTTTAAAAAATAACTAATCTTTTAAAAAATACTATTACATAGTAATGCAGTGCCCTTTTTCCTTCAGAATAGACCTCCGGGCAGGAATGTGGTAAAAGATCTAGTAGTAGTTTCCATTTTTTTCTTTTCTTCTATTATATAGCCTTTTACAACTTCTTTCCTGTAAAGTTCAAAAAATTTGCTTATTTCTTATATTGATTACTAGATAACATGCTGTAATTTTGTAATAAAGCCTCATTCTCTTCATTTTCATGGTTTTCAACATCTTGTGCCCCTATTGTCTTAACTTTTCAAAAATGTTGTCATCCTATATCCCAACTAACGTAAGCTGCTGCCCTTCTACTTCCTCTCTGGCATAATCACCTAGAATAATGCCACGATCAGCCTTAAAAACTAGAGATCAAAAATTCCATGGGACTTGGGATTTGGCTCACTGCTTCTGTCACCTGCTTAGCAAGCACAAGGACCAGAGTTCGATCCCTGGCACCACAAAAAAAAAAGAATTGCCAGCCCCACTTGCCTTGCCATTACAAAGTAGCCACAGAGCAAGAGAATAGTGAACTATAATGTGCTTAACACTGGCCATCACCATGTAGCAACCAGCACTTATTTTCTTGGTTAGATCTTATTTTTGGGAACCAAAAATGTCTGTATAACATGGGTTGGTTTCAGTTTTTATTTTTTTAATATAATAATTCTTTTTTTTTTTTCAGTTTAGCTGTATAGATTACATATTGATCAACACCTCCTTTTATCTGTATTTCTACCTCTTTGTAATGTTTATAATAAGCAATAGTTTATATTCTGGGTTTAATATAGGATATATTTTCCATAGGCTATAGGGAGATTCTTTAAAAACTAGACAAATCTGTTCTATCATAAATTAACACTTAAGCTCACAAGTATATCCTTTTTCATACCATTTCCATTTTACTGTTTCCTAATTTCAGACACCTATCCTAGTATGCAGTTTGCTTTGCTATGTTTTTGTTTGCTGAACTATAAGAATCAATAAAAAATACTAAATCAAAAGTTTTATTTGATGCTTGAAATAAAGCACTACCACTTACTATCTGTAGGAAAATTGCACAAATCAAATGCATTTTATCATCATAAGGTGTCTTTCCTGCTGAGAATGACTGTTTTGTAAAGAGCATTAAAAACCTTAACTAGTAAGTTTATTAGAGTTTCTGTACACTGGTTTCAAAACCGTGTTGGGACAGGCCATCTTCTTGGGACATAAAGTTAACTTTTTTTTTTAATTGAGTTTATTGGTACAATCTAGGTATACAATACAGTTACATTCATTACTGGGATCCTGTACCTTCACATGACAGGTATTGGTTCTCATTTTTTTCCCCTTGTCCCTGCCCTCAGTTAACTTTGTTTTAATAAATTTGGAATAGTGATTTCACTTATGTGGTAATAGCTCATTATTATAAACTCTGATAGAAAAGATGCCCATTTTAAACATAAATGTCTTAGTTAATGAGGCTTTGGGGGACATCTAGATATAAGCCATAACAGCAAGTAGGGGTTGAAACATGTTAGACTCTTAGGTATTATTTTGGAAGGGACTTGAACGAAACAGTATTACTCAGGATACAAAACCAATACACAAAAATCAGTAGATTCTTGTATGCCAATAATGAACCTACCAAGAAAGAAATCAGGAAAACAATTCCAATCACAGTAGCTAAAAAAAAAATTTTTTTAAATGCCTAGAACTCAACCTAACCAACAAGATGAAAAACTTGTATAATAAAAACTAAACTTTGAAGAAATAAATTGAAGAGGACATCATAAAATGGAAAAGCAGCCCATGTTCTTGGATCAGTAGAATCAGTACTGTTTAAAAGCCATATTACCAAAAAAAACCTATAGATTTAATACAATTCCTCTTAAAATGCAGCAACGGTTCTAGTTTGCAGAACTGGAAAAAAACATTCTCAAATTCATATGGAACCAGAAGAGACTAGGAATAGCCAAAGCAATCCTAAGCAAAAAGAGCAAAGTAAAAAAGAGGACAGAATGCTGGATTTCAAGTTAGACTACAAATCTATAGTATCAAAAACAGTATGGTACTGCCAGAAAAATAGCCTTTTAAAAGGATGGGATAGAACAGAAGACAAAAGAACTCCCATGCACTTTCAGCCATCTGATTTTTGTTTCTTGTTTTGTTTTTTGAGACAGGGTCTCACTGTGTAGTTGAGACTGATCTGGAACTCACTATGTAGCCCAGGCTGGTCTTGAACTCATAGTGATCCTCCTGCCTCAGCCTCCCAAGTGCTGGGATTATAGGCGTGCGCCACCACGCCTGTCAACCATGTGATTTTTGACAGAGGGGCCAAAAATATACATTGGAGAAAAGATAGCCCCTTTAACAAATGGTGCTGGGAAAACTGGTTATCCACATGCAGATTTAAACTATCTCTCACCTTTTACTGCTATCAATTTAAAGCAGATCAAAAACCTATATATAAAAACAAACTTTGAAACTGCTAGAAAATAACATAATGGAAACACTTGAAGCCATAGGCACAATAAGGAACTTCCTGAACTAAACTACCAGTAGCATAGGAAATAATGTCAGAAATCAACAAATGGAATTATGTCAAAGTGAAAAGCTTCTGTACAGCCATCAGAGTGAAAAGACAACCTACAGAATGTGAATATAGAAATATATAAAGAACTAAAAACAGATCCCCCCCAAAATAAAAGATCCAGTAAAAAAAAAAAAAAAAAAAAAGATAGGCAACTGAAATAAATACACTTCTAAAAAGAAGTACAAATGACCAGTGAATAAATGAAAAAAAAATGTTCATCTTTAACCATTAGGGAAATACAAATAAAAACAGCTTTGAGATTTCATCTTAGCCTAGCCAGAACGGCTATCATGAAGAACACAGATATGCTGGCAAGGATGTGGGGGAAAAGGAACCTTTCTTCATTGTTTGTGAGATTATGAACTAGTATGAACACCAGGGAAATCATTGTATAAAGATTTCTCAAAAAAGAAAAAAGGAAACACACAAAACAACAACAAAACCCACTAAAAAAAAGAAACTCAAGGCCCAGGATTTAGCTCAGTGGTTCTGCTCCTGCCTCCCGAGCGCAAGTACCCAAGTTCAATACACAGTACCAAAAAAGAAACTTTCATTTTATCCAGCTATACTTCTCCTGGGTATAAAAAGAATTAAAAGACATCATACTGTCGTGATACATGTATACCCATACCCATGTTTATAGCAGTACCATTTATAATAGCTAAGTTTTGGAGACAGCGTAGATATCCATAATCAGAGGAGCGGATAAAGAAAATGTGGTATATAAACACAATAGAATGTTTTCAGCCATAAGAAGAATGAAATCATTTCATTTGCAGGAAAATGAATGGAGCTTGAAAGACTGTAATGCTAAGTGAAGTCAGACACAGAAAGTTATGTATCACATGGTTGCCCTTGTATAAGAAACCTAAAATACAATAATAAATTAATAAAATAAAGGAGAGATAGTCGGAAACAAGAAGGACGCGTTTTGGAGGTGAGAAGGAGGAACAGTTAGGGGGGTGGTGGAGATGAGGGAGAGAAAGGGGGAGGTAAGGGAGAAGGAGTAAAGGAATTAAAAATGATCAAGACAGGTTAAAGCATGTACCAATTCCCCAAAGTGAATATTACACCCCCCCATTAGTATAGCCACATTCAGGACCAAGCCTTCAACCTTCGAACCCATGGGACGGGGGAGACAAACTAGATCCAAATCAGAACAACAAATATAGAGGTCTTTATGAAAAATAGCAGAACATAAATATTTTGTGGGACTATCGTTCATTTATTTTTTCTCATGAATAAAGATAAATTCCAAGTAATTTTTTAAAAATTAAAATTTTTTAAAATACAGATTTACTCTCAAGTAATTCTTTTTTTTAAATTTTACTGAGTTTATTGGTACTTTTTTAAGTATACAGTACAGTTACATTCATCATTGGGATCTTGCACCTTTACATGACTCTTATGTAATTCTTCACTTGTATGAAACAGTTCCTAGAAGTAGCTGAGGCCCTGAGAAAGAAGTAAATCAAAGAATGGCTAGATGGGCTAAGGATAAGGCTGTAATGAATGTGGCCACTATATTGGGCAGGGAGTGATAATGAGCCTTTCCTACAAGAAAGAAGGCATGTCCATCAAATTGTATGTGTGTAATTTTGACCGTGGTGAATTTTCTGAGTATGTTATTGGAATTTGTTTTGTTACTAAATAGCATCTTTCTGAAGTTTTCTGTCAGTTATCCTGAACAAACCAAGTATATTAATTTTAGGCATCCTGGAAAGAGATTAGTATTTTTAACTTATGACATGGTGATTCTGTGTCAGTACTTGAAGACAGTGTTAAATGTCAAAACTGGTTATAAAGGAAAAATAACTTAAGGTCTTCATTGACTAGAAATAAATGGAAGAAAAGAAAGCCTAGACTTTAGAGTTCTTGTGACTATTTTCTTTTATCTTTGTGCTGGTTTTGCCGTACTATTCAGTTGGCACTTTTTTTTTTCTGCTTTGATTTTGTTGTATGCATTTTCTGTATTTATGTTACTGTATGTCAGAATAGCTTCTATAGTATCTTATTTCAGGATGTCTTTGGTTATTTGGAAACACACCTCAAGTATTAATTGTAATGTACTTCAATGTTTAAAATATATGCCACAAAGTATTTTAGAAGAAAAATTTGAATAAAAAAGCACATAAATTTACCACAAGAGAGGTAGAATTCGTAGGTTGTCAGTCATTTCTACCCTAATGTTAAAGGTTAAAGGTCTTTTAACAGTCTATTGGGTAATAAGTTTTTGATATTTAATAAATTGACCAAAATATAAAAAAATAAAATAAATTAGCTATGTCACTCTGTGTCAAAGTTTAATTGTAAAATAGTGGGCAGTTTCATTCCCTTTTAAAGAAACATAGGAGTATTCATTCTTCTAATCTATGATCATATTTTTTGATGAGCCTAACGTACCCCTTAAGTTTCTGCCCTTATAATTCAGGGAACAGAGAATTCAAAGAAATTCAACATTTAGCCTTTTATAACTTTCTACCTATTTTTCCTTAAATGACAGTTGACAGACTCTTTCTTTGAAAAGTACCATTCTTTTACATAGTGATATTACTAAAATTTTTATTTCTTTTGTCCAAAATAGTTATGGTTCACATTTTCTTTTTTGTCTGTTTCATGAATGGCATGATAAGAAACTTAGATTAAATATTTGGTGTTACAAGTAATAACAGTAAAATTTCCTTTGAGGTTTAAAGACTCTTCTTTTCATTTATTTATTTTTTTGTTTATTTTATTAGTGCAAAGCAGCTGGTCCGAGGAGAACCCAATGTTTCGTATATCTGTTCTCGGTACTATAGGGCACCAGAGTTGATCTTTGGAGCTACTGACTATACATCTAGTATAGGTAAGTACTTAATCTGAATATAATGTTTATCATTGCTAGTTGCATCTTGATTTTAGTAATTTGTAATAATCTATATTTTCACTGCCATAGAAAGAAGGGTTATGTCCTGTGATGTGTTTCTTTTTTTTGTGAATGAGTTGGAAAAAATGTGTAGGTTTTTGTTTTTGTTTTCTAATTTTACCCTATAAAATTTCGGGTGTCATTGCCAGTCTGGTTTTAGGGTTTTTTGGACTATTAGAATTATAAAAGTATTCCTTTATGGTTGGTTAATACATTTGTTTTTACTTTAAAGCTTCAAATAAATTCTAATATATCTTTTGTTTACTGACTTTAAAAAAAAAATCCTCTTTAAATATTTCTGAATTTGATAGCCAGTTAGAGAATTTGTGCATTTATAATGTTATTTCATTAAATTAATAATGAAAGTGATAGGGAAACCATATTGTTGAAATCCTGCCATATTGTCTCAGTTGTAAGCCAGATTAGATCTTACTAGCTCACTGGAGATGCTTAGTGATGGAGGGAGTTGTAGTTTCTCCATTTCAGCGTACTGACTAGGAGTGAACGGGAACAAAAAGGCCATGATCAGATGAATAGAAAACTAAGAAACAAAGAGCAAGTTATATATTATTTTTGAAGAGAATTCCCTAGTCCAAAAATAGAAACAAAGGCATACAGATACCAGACACATATGTCAAAAACCCAACAACTACAAACTTAGACAAAACGTGGCCAAATTTTTTTCTGATAAAAATAGAAATTATCTGATATGAACAGACACTTTCTAAACAGAAACATGTTATTTCCGTTTTGTCAAAGATCAGTATGCCAAAGCATGTACCATTTATGCCAAAGGGCTGACAGTTTTACTCATCATTTCTTTTGTAACATCAGTGCAATTTACTCCATAAAAAAGGCATATTCTTGTGAATGTCCAGAGGACCTAGGCCTGTGCAAACTATAGTTTGAGATTTAGTGCACAAGAGAAGAGGGAGTACAATTTTGGGTGTAAGTAGCACTGATTCTTATGATGGGTATGTTATATTGTATACATTAATAATGGACAAGTGAGAAATGGTACAAAGAAATGGTAATTTGCCTGGGGTTGACCTAGGTTTGACTTCCATATTTGCTGCTACTTAGCTGAGCTATAAAATAGAGATTACTAACAGTTTTGCCTTTTTTTAGTGTCTGTGAGGAGTAAATAAAATGTCAGGGAAAGTACTATCAAAATGTAATATAGTGTTCTTTTGTGGTATTTGTTAGGTTGACTGTCCCCGAAAGCAAATTTCCGCCCATGGCTTTGGGAATATCACTGGTTTTTCCCAGCTGCTTTGTATTTTATTTATATATTAGATATTATCTGTAGACAAGATACTGGGTTGACTTGTATCAGGATCATCTAAAATAAAGGCATTTAATTCATCCAAAAGAGTTATACCCCTATAACCAGACACATTAAAGAATGTTTATATAAATTAAGAACCTTTGAGCCCTAACAAGCCTAGATTTTTTTCTCTTGTGTTTACCACTTAAGGCTCTAGGATTTCTAAACATGGGGGAGGGTATATTTGAGAATATACTAGTATAGGTACATTTTTTTAATGTTTTTAGTAATGTTTGAGTCACATCCTAGATTATTGTCGTATTTGGGTATAATCAGTTAAAGTCAATGATTCTGATTATATCCTTACTGAGAAATGGCATGCTGAAAAAGAAAAGGCTTCTTTAGGTCAGGGAATAAAGCTAGGACCCTTGAAATTTGTTTTTTTTTTTTTTTTCCTGTGAAATGAGACAATTATGAAAGATAATGATGTCTGATTGGGGATTAAGAATAAATTCCAGGCCTAGTGCTGTGCTACCCAATAACTTTACCTTGGGCAAGTGAACTTTATCCTGCTATAATTTCTTTATCTGTGAAGTAAGTTTTTGTTTTGTTTTGTTTTGTTTTTTGTTTTTAATTAGATGTTCTTGAAACAGAATTCTATTTTGGCTTAAACCCCAAATAACTAAAATTCAGAGGGGCAAAGCATTTTTGTGTTAGTAAGCTTTCTACTTAGGTGAAGTTTTACTCTGTTTGGGGAGTTTCATTATTTTTGTCCTAGGAAAATAAGAATAAATATTCATATCTCCCAGAAAGTGAATAATAAATACTTTGTTTTTAGCAATTTGACTGATTTAGTGTGAATTGAAGAGCAGTTAGTAGAGTTATGACCTAAATGTTTTGTTTATTAATTTTCTGTTACTGCTAGGTATTAGTATTCCTTGATGTTTTTTTACTCCTTGTCTTGCATGAAAGCTGAAAGGCAAATACAAAGGAAAGCCTTTCCTATTGTTTTTTTTGGTGAAGATATAATTATTCCCTGCAATTTTTCCAACTTTGTCTTCTGAGATGAGTTACTCTTTCTTCTGGAAAGAAGTGGGTGCATAGTACCTTCTCTCTAATTAGCTAGGTAAAGGAATTTTTAAAACTTGAATTAAAATAAAACATTTAATGAGCCAGGGATGTAGCTCAGTGGCGCTGCGCCATAGTGTTCTGAGTTGGATTGCTGGTATCAAAAAAAAAAAAAAAAAAAAAAGACCAAAAGACATTTAATGAGAAAATGTATTTTTCCACCTGACTACAAGAATAGTATTACTGGGACTGGGGATTTAGCTCAGCGGTTCCACCACCTACCTTGCAAGCACAAGGACCCGAGCTCCATCCCCGGTACAAAAAAAAAAAAATAGTATTACTGTTAGTTTTAAATGAAATGAAGAGCCCCTAATAGGTTTTCATATTTGCTTTCACTTTAGCAATTTTCCTAATATGTCATGGACTCTCTTGGTCTGTGTTGCAGAATAAATGTCTTGCGTATCATTACTTAGAAAGAGAAAAAAAATCTGCTTTAATTTCTTATGTAAATTCTGTATCATTTTTCTAAGTAACAAGTAATCATTAGAGTACAGATTTCAAATCTGTCTTGGTAACACATTTTACCATATTAGATTCTAATTACATTATTTTTGCTATATCATTCACTATATTATTCTGCTTACCTCCTGGACAGTAGGAAAATCTGGTAACGATTTATGTTCATCTCTGTAAAGTACTTCATACTTTGTATGTAAAGTACACATACTTTATATGTACTTTACTTTGGTACACACAAAGCCCAGGAATCTCAAAAACCTTAAAATTGAAAGCTTTTGCTTGCAGAAAATCTTAATAGACTTTATGTACCATAGCCATGTAATTTATCTTTAGATAATTTTGAGAGAGAAAGTGTATGCTATTAATGATTATCTAGAACAAGAGATATTAATCAGGACTGTCATGGATAAGCCAGGATGTATGCTTTTAAGTTATTTTAATTTTTATTATTTAAATTTTTGTTGTTAATATGTATTAATTACAATTTTAAAGTTTTCTCTCAGGATTGACATCCCCATTTTTGATATAAAAGTAAATTATTTATAGAAATTAAGACAAAGTATTTTCCTTTGTATTTGCCTTTACTTGCATTTATAATATATCTAAGCACATTTCTTTCAGTCATCTTTACAGCATATAAAAATCAACTATTTTGAGTTTTAAAGATTTCCTTAGAATTTGCATTGGCTTAAAACTGGGAGATTGAACTCTTGCTCACTACTCTTCTTTAAAAACCAACTATTGTGCAGAGTGTGTGTGACTTTTACTTACTTTTTAAGTATGATAATTTGATAGTCTTACTGTCACTTTGAAGCTGTAATTACTGTATTGTTATTTGAAGACCTTATGGTCGATAATAGTAGATTCGAACCTTTATTGAAATATTTTTATTGGCCTTATTTCTTCTTTAAGAAGTTTAACACTTAATTTAAAATGCATTGGGGAAATTTTGCTTTGTTTTGTTTTTCAGACAGGGTCTCTCTAAATTGCCTAAGCCAGTGGTGGTGAACCTATGGCACCCATGCAGCAGTGGGTGCACAGAACCCTCTCTGTTGTCACGCAAGCCCAGGTCGCCTCAGCATGCCAAATGCAAACTTTTACCTTTCAATAAAAAGCTGTTTGTATCAATCAAAGCTCTGTTATTGTTACTTTCTTTCAAAACAAAATATGCTAATGTAGAATTGTTTTTTCTAAGCTAAAACCTCAGCATTCAGATTTCTTTGCAGTGTTGGCACTTTGAGATAATAAATAGATTTTCAGTTGCAGTTTGGGCACTTGGTCTCTGAAAAGTTCGCCATCACTGTTGTAGGCTAATCTTGAACTTGAAATCCTCTTGCCTTGGCTTCCCAAGTAGCTGGGAGTAGAAGTATGCACCACTATGCCTGGTTATTAGGGAAGATTTTACTTTTATCTTTCCTTGTTTTGGACTACACAATCTTGCTTCTGATATTTACTATGTGGTTAAAGTAAAATTAGAAAATGTATGCATTTTTCAATGCAGTTACAAAGCATTAATAAGCTTTTATTTTCTCTTCAGATGTATGGTCTGCAGGCTGTGTGTTGGCTGAGCTGTTGCTAGGACAACCAATATTTCCAGGGGACAGTGGTGTGGATCAATTGGTAGAAATAATCAAGGTAAGGAAGTTGAATTAGGATTTTTTAACTAAAAGTAATTTGGGTGCTATTTTTGTAATACAACATACACATGCAAAAAATTTTTTTTAAAAATGAGTAAAATGATCTAAGATTGCTTACCTAGCAAGTTCACCCATAGAGCATGTAGAAGGAAGGACCTGCCAACCTTTGGTTTCTAGTTAAGTTTTCTTTTGTTTCTTTTCTTTTTTTTGTTTTGTTTGGGTTTGTTCCCGAAAAAAACTTATTTCAAGTCTGATGCAAGAAAGAGGCTTATCCATTATTCAAAATACTTAAAAATAGAATTGGGATATAAGCTTACTAATGTATGTAAGCTGGATAAAAACAAACTGTATCTGTTTGCTCACCATGTACTCTGCTGATAATACTCTGGAACAGATATGTGATGTTTATGTTTATTCAATATAATAATAATGTTTACAAAATGAAAGAATGAGTACATATATGGTAGACTACTGCTAAAAGTAGACTTTAAAAAAAAAGTCTTAAACAGGAGCTAGGAATTAGGCTCAGAGGTACCACTGCCTGCCTCACAAGCGCAAGGTCCCAAGTTCAATCCCCAGTACTCCCTACAAAACTAAAATAAAGTAAACTTTGACTTACACATTGATTTAATACAATTTTGTTTATTGAGCCTATGAACACCACTGTTAACTATAGCAAATTCAAAATAATAGAAGTGGGCCGGGGATTTAGCTCAGTGGTTCCGCCACCTGCCTTGCAAGCGCAAAGACCCGAGTTCGATCCCTGGTACCAAAAAAAACCAAAATAATAGAAGTGGGCCGGGGATTTAGCTCAGTGGTTCCGCCACCTGCCTTGCAAGCGCAAAGACCCGAGTTCGATCCCTGGTACCAAAAAAAACCAAAATAATAGAAGTAATGCTTTCACTTTAAGACTAGTAAAGCAGAGATTTTGAATTTAAATGTTATTTTAAAAGATTTAAATGTTTAAGATCTTAAAAGGAGGCCCTCATAATCTTTTAAAAATCTGACTTTTATATATTTGAACTACTAGATTGTTTCCCTAGGTTTCAATTGAGCCAAAGAAACAACATTGTGATTTTGGACTTTTATTCATGATTTCTCAAAATTTTCATAGATTTATAAACTTGAAACCTCTTAGGGGTTATGAATCCCTTCCTGTGTCTAACGAAAGAGACTTTTAATTACAATTCTGACAAGTGATTTTCCAATGTTTCCTTGAACATTTCTCACATTAGATTGCTGCATTGGGCTACAGCCCACTATTTGAATTCAGTTTTTATTACATTGAATCATAGTTCCCTGGAAATTTCAAGCAATTGAATGATCAAGTTATTTTAAAATCTTTATATTTCTTTCTTCAAAAATACATTTTCTTTTAATCAGAGGTGATTTTTGCTAGATAAGCAAATCTGGTTGAAAAGACCATTGTGTGATGTGATCAGTGATCTTTCTTAATTGTGTCTATATAATTTCTTATGATTTGCAACAGAAACCATCTCTTTTCTTACCGTCTTTAAGTTTAAGATTGAACCTTTAACCATGTTGTCCTTCCTGATTGCTGTAGTACCCTCAGATCTAAGTTTGAATGGTTTACTCTGTTTCCTAAAATCCTGTGATCTTCCTGTTATTTAAATTAATGCGCTGCCACCTCCTGCCTCACAAGCACAAGGTCCTGAGTTCGATCCCCAAACTCCCCCCAAAATTAATTAGTTAATTAATTAATGCTCTAATATAAAGGTTGACAAACTTTTTATGTAGAGCTATATAAAATATTTTAGGTGTTGTTCAAAAGAAAATGAAGAATGTCACATAGGCGTTAAACTAACAAAAAATGATTCTTTTTTTTCCCCAAGTTTATTGGTACATTTAAAACAAACAATACAGTTGCATTATCATTGGGATCTTGTACCTTTACATGATATGTCTTCGTTCTTATTTTTTCCCCATACTCCTATCCTCTCTTCACCCCCTTCACCTTTTCCTATTTATAAAGACTTTGTTTCCATTTTTTCCTTTTTTTCACATTTTTTTTCTCTTATTTCCTTTCCCCTCCCCACTTGCCCTTTAGCCATTTTCTTCCTATTTCATACTATCAGTTATATCATTTGAACCTTATTTACACTTTTAGTTTTTCACACCAGAGAAACTATTTGCTATTTATTCAAGTGTGTCCTATTTATTTCATTAAGAATATAGTCTCAGTGTGCATCCATTAATTATAAATGTCTCCAGTTTCTCCTTCTTTATGGCTGAGTAGTACTCCAGTAGAAAAACCACATCTTTATCCAGTCTCCAGTTGATGGGCATTGGGTTGTTTCTAAGTTTTAGCTATTACAGACTGTGCCGCTATAAACATGGGTGTACATATTATCACTGTGATATGATTCTTCTAATTCTTTTGGAAAGATACCCAGGAGAGAGATAGGTGGGTCAAGTGGGATCTCTAATCCTAGTTCTTTGAGGTATCTCCATATTGATTTCCACAGTGGTTGCACCAGTCTGCACTCCCACCAACAATGGAGAAGGGTTTCTTTCTCCCCACAGCTCTGCCAGCATTTGTTATTGGTTGATTTCTTGATAGCAGCCATTCTTTGTGGGATGAGGTGGAATCTCAGTGTTGTTTTCATTTGCATCTCTCAGATGCCCAGTGATGTGGAACATTTTTTCATATGTTTATTTGCTGCTTTTACTTGTTTGTCTGAGAAATGTCTGTTCATTTCAGATGCCCATTTTTGGATCGGGTATTTGTATTTGGGAGGGGGTCTAATTTTTTTTTAGTTCTTTATATATTCTAGATAGTAGTCCTTTGTCTGAGGAGTAGCTGGTAAAAAAATTTTCTAACATTAAAGGTTGTCTCTTAGCTCTGTTGGTGGTTTCTCTTGTCCTACAAAAACATTTCAATACAATGAGATCCCAGTTGTTGATTCTTTGTGCCGGTTCTCATGCTGCTGAGGATTTGTTCATAACGTCTTCTCCTATGACAGTGTCTTTGAGAGTTCTACCTAATTTACTTTCCAGTAAGTTTAGTGTTTCTGTTTTGATATTTAAATCTTTAATCCACTTGGATTTTAGTTTAGTGCATGGTGAAAGATAGGGATCTAGTTTTAATCTTTGGCAAATTGAAAGCCAGTTTTTTCAAAACCATTTATTAAAGAGACTGTCTTTCCTCCAGAGAGGGTGGTTGGCTCCTTTGTCAAAGATGAGGTAGCTGAGTATTTCTAGTGTTGTTTCTGCATCTTCTGATCCATTTTATTGATCCTCGGGTCTGTTTCTTTGCCAGTACCATGCTGTTTTTATCACAGTGGTTTTGCAGTATAGTTTCAAGTTGGGAATTGTGATGCCCCCTGCCATGTCTCTGTTGGCTAGAATGGTTTTTGCTATTCTAGGTCTCTTCTGGTTCCAAATGAATTTTTGGATAGTTTTCTCAAGTTCTGTGAAATACACTGTTGGAATTTCAATCTGGATTGCATTGAATCTGTATGGTAGTTTTGGAAGTATGGCCATTTTCACTATGTTGATTCTTCCTACCCAGGAGCAAGGGATATCTTTCTATCTTCTTATATCCTCTTCTCTCTCTTTTTCAGAATGCTATAATTTTAGTGTAGAGTTCTACAAAAAACATTTCTATGAATTTTTATTGATGAAATTCAAAACATGATAATTTTGTAGATTTTTTTTTTTAATAAAAAAGGTCTTTGGAGAAGAATAAGTTGTTTCTGAGAGGTATAGTATATCTCTTAATTGTAGTTCGCAACATTCCCTATCATCATATTGATGAAAATCTGTAGAAATTAATTCTTAGTTGATGAGCCCTACCAAAGCAAGGAAGAGACTATAGTTTCCTGATCTTGCTTTTTTTAATCCCTAGACTTTCACTTTATGTATTTGAGTTTGCTGTACTATATTTCCCTGGCCATACTGCCATTTATTTGCTCTATACATTTAACTCATTTGAATTTGTGTCATTTCTCTACTAATTATATTTTAAATTGTATGGTGATTTATTTTGTCATTAGCTTTAATTAATATATGATATAAATGAAGTTGCTCATGTAGCTGTGGAAATAGGCTTGCAAATACTTGCATAACCTTTACAGTTAGAGCGTTTTTGTGCCAGTTTTAGTCAATCTTTTTGGATTAGATTTGAAATTTGTAGGACTTTAAAATTGGTTTTGAGTTTTCTATGAAAGATGATCTATAGTTGCCCAGTTCAGTTTTCAAGCTTTCTGAAATAATAGTCATTAAGCACTTTAAATTTAAGCAAAAAGTGTAAATGGGTAATCATATAGCAAATTTCATGAAGGCTTTTATATGGTAGATTAGCCTCATTAATCTATAAACTTCCTAAGGTGGGACTTTCTTTTATTATGTTTTTAGGATCCAAGAGCACCAAAGTAGTTTTCATTAAAGATTTTGATTGAATTAAACTGTTAGACCATTGCCCATACATAAAATTGGAATCAACTGGGAGCTAATAAGTTAATGTGGTGGTCATAAAAAAATATATACACACACACACACACACACACACACAATTACATTTTATTGAATCATTTGTACATGCCAGTAATTTATAGCTTGGGTAACATAGTTTGATAAATTGAACTAATTCTACCAAAGAGTAGCTAATCTTTTTGATCTTCCTTATCCTCTACAAGAAAACATCTACAAAATATTTACTAAAAATTCAGATACATTTTCTTCAGAATAAGCTTAAAGTATAAAATGGAGTAGAACGGAATGTCATAAAAAATCATTTCTAACCATGAAAAGCATTTAACTTTATAAAGTTAATTTCATATGCAAAATCCCCTAAATGTGTTGAAATTTAAGCAATCTAGGAAGTCTTGGACCTGAGAATACTGTAGGTTTTACTAATAGTTTTTGCCACTACTTTCCCATTTTCAATTTTAAAATATGAATTTCAAGTATGGGAAGGTCAGCTTTAATCCAAGTACAATTTCTGGTTTAAAATGTCACAAAAATGGAAAGTTTGAG